GATAACAACGGTGACCCGATGTGCAGGTAAACATCATTTTCACATAATTTATTGCTGCTTTTTGATTTTTGATTCGTTGGAGATGGTTTGGTTTGTAACGTAAATTTTGTGTTTTTTGATGCATTATCTCAGTTGCTCGTGCTTCGGATTCGTATTGTTCCATATTTTGCTTGTTCATTCGCTTGTTTACTTATGTCCTCAACGAGATATTTTGTTCGAAAATTCTGACAATGAGCTTTTTTTTGTAGGGATCGACTGATAATTCCAACGGATACAATACCAAAAAGTCTCTACTGGCAACCAACTGACTGTTCACCAAATAATGCCGACTTACAACAGTTAAATATTTGCGCTGGAAAGGAGAAAATTATTTCTGTTATACTCAATGAATATGATGCCAATGAAAGGGTTTTCTTATCACTTAATCGGTCAGTGAAATCTACTGAACAGAAACTTTTCATTTGGAAAGTGAAAATTTCAGTTTCGTTTTCTTTTCTCGATGCATTTGAATGAATGAAAAATTTTCATCAGTCACAGTATCAGCTTGACAACTTTCTCGAGAAGTGTATTGATGTTATCGTTTCATTTCGCTTCATACCATCTGCTACAGTTGAAATATTGTTAAATTTTCTTCAATCAAACGTCAAGTCAAGCAAATGATTGATTTGCCAATTGACGAACGGATCTGTGTGAATTAAAGATATGCTGAAAAGACGTACTCAATGGCGATCTATCACAGCGTTGATAAGAATGAAATAAATCAAAATATTGGTGACATGCACGAGTGGATTCCAATTTTTGACTATCCAGCAATGCCCACTACTGACTTAGTGAAAGTGCCGGCGATTGGTGCGGGCATCTATAAATTCAGATTCGGAAATGAACAGGTTTCGCTTGCTCACTCATCTGATTTCATTTCATTTCTTGACCCATCAGATGTTTGTTTGTTTGCTTTGTTTCCTTGGATAAACAAGTTCACGTAGCCAGCAACTGTTTCTCAACTATGTTTCAGGCTTGGTTCCGTTCAATAACCATACATTATCGCATAAGATTTGTCAATCAACACAACCAGCCTGTTGACTATGAAGTGATTTCCTAAAATTTCATTTGTATCTACATGTATTTCAATTTCATCTCTATCTTTCATATCGTACGTGAATATGATGTATATTACCGATTATGACTGAATATATGTGATGTGTATGATACAATAGGTCACTTACTTAATTCAGTTAAATGAATTAAATGTTTAATTTAAATTAGATCGGGAAACGACATCGTCAATTGATTTTTCGCCGAATTCACTTA